TTGATCAAACTTTTCAACAAGATAAAATTTTATCAAATAATAATAATAGTGATATTGAAAATGATGATGACGATGATGAACAAGAAGAAGTAAGTTCATCGAATAGAATATTCTAGAAGTCAAACTATTTACTATAATATCGATGAGTGTAGATCCGTACATTTATGATCCACTCGAACTCTCATTGCTTAGTGTTACATCTATAAATTTTAAGCGAAAATAGAAAAGATTTTAGGTTATGATATGAACAGTAAGTATACGAAGGACAGTAGATTACCAATCAGATAACAAATATCAGTAGGATTGCGGTTAGAGGATAGCCAATTGTTTAAGTATCTAACTACTGACAATTCTTTGTCACTATTAGCGCGTACTGCCTATTGATCGTTCGTATACCGATGAAGCTTATTCTTATCAATAGCTATTCGTTATCAAAGGCTACTTGATAAGTTTTGAACCATATGGTTAAAATACCAGAGAAATTCCAAGAAAATCTTGATTATTTTTTTAAATTGATGTGTACATTTATACATCAAACTGTCCTACATTGATCTGCATAATTTATTTTTAATAGTGTTTCGATTTCGAAATGAATGATTTAGTATTTATATGTAGTGTACTTGTAATTATCTTATTTTAAAGTTGTGTTCAGATTGAATGCCTATGATACATTCAACATGCATAATCGAGTGTGTTCGAGATATAATGGATTTGAAAAATGATGCTACGTGTCTTTCATTCGTTTGTCAGTCATTTGCGCATTTACCGATAGTTTTTCATCCTCTTTCTATTCAAGATAGGGGTGAAAATAGGACATGACTATCGATCAAAAGGATGTTCTTTTGTGTGATTATAGGCACTAAGCAGATAATAAAATAAAAGCACTGCGTACTTGACAAACATGAAAAGAATGTTATTCTATGTGTCATGGCCACAAACCTTGAAAAACATCGAATTTTAACTTTATTTTGCGTTTTTCTTAAAACGTATTTACTCCATTTTTGGGGTGTGTCCCGTGTAATTATTAGAAGACAGTGTTTAAAAACTTGACATCTATGACAACTTTTGCTGTACTCATCATCATCAAGGTGTATCTATCTTAATGAGTCATTTTCTAGAAACCACAAAAATTGAAGTACCCCTAAGCTAATAATGTAAACATAGAAGTTTGTTAAGAACAAACAAAGATTTCATATACAGTAAAACCTCTCTATAGTGGACACTCTTCGGACTTTTCAAAAGTGTCCACTATAGGGAGACTATGTGTTTCCCAAAACTAACATCTTTTTCAAACAAGTCGACATGTTTCTAGGCATCTAGAACATTAGAGAATAAAATAATCGCGATAGAGCACATTAGTACTTTTCTTTTCATGTATTTTAGTTTTGAAAAATAGAAAAATCAACAATTATCACAAAAATCTTTGATAGAGCTTTGTTTCGCCATTTTCGAATATAGATAAATGTCACATAATTGTGATTCAAGATCAGAGATGATCGTACACATGAGTCTGTTGCTCAGACACAAAAAAAGATCAACCTGATAATCTATGACCACTTTAATTATACTTAATTAGTACAATCTTTTGTTCCGCAGTCAACACTCATCGATTAGACATAATGATCTCTTTCTCTTAATACTTGTAACAAAAGGACACAAATTTTTCAATGCGATTATATATATATATATACCAGTCTCCCCTATTCAACACAAAGAACGTGTTCTTTCTCTACCACTGATATGCATCTTTTTTACCATTCCGCCGTCCGATCCATAAAGAAGAGTCATTATGTTGAATGACTAATGATAGTCATCACGACATTCTCTTTGAACTCATAGTTAGTGTCCACTATACAGAGGTTATTTATGAAAGAGGGACCGTGAAAAAGTGTCCACTATAAAGAGGTGCCCACTATGAGAGGTTTTACTGTATAAACTATTTTATTTTGAATTTGGTATGTCAATCAAATGCAGAAGAGTTTAATGATAATATTAAGGTATTCTAATGTTTTGTTTTATTTTTGTTTAGGAAGAAAAAACGCGCGATAATCAATTAGATGAAAAAATGTTTGACTATGGTATGTTGAAATTAAATATTATTATTATTTTTTTTTATTCAAGATGATTATTATTATTTTAGAATTACATTGGTTAGAAAATAATCCATCAATTAAACAATTAACAACAAGTAAAAGAAAAAAAAAAACATTTTTGTTGTTTTTTTGAAAATGATTTTAATTTATATAGTTCAACAAAAAAATCGAATAATTATTTATCAATGTTCGAAATGTAATTATACAATTAATAATAATCGTCAATATTTTCTTAATCATCTTGATCATCAACATCCAGAAATTTTACAAGTAAAATTTATATATTTTAATAATTAATTAAATAAAATCTTTTTATTGTTTTAGAATTATACATAATTATTTGTGTAATTCAATAGTCAGATATATGCATTTGTTGTTCATGGTCTTTCTCCTGTTTTCTTTTTGTTTTCAACGAACTTTGCATTCCATTATATATGTATGTGTGTGACTTCAGATAAATTTTCCTGTACATTGTCTGTTTGTTTGCACTATTTATTCCCTATTTCGTTTTTTGTTTTCTTCTTTCGTGTCTAGCCATTCCAGTTTGTTTATTTGTTCTATTGCTTTGCTTTATTCTATATTCTTTATTATTATACTTGTATCGTTATTGTTCAATCGATATGTTTTCTGTTTTTTCTTTTTTTTTGTGTAACTTTTGTTTTTTCTTTTGTTTGTTTGTTTTTTTATTCAAGACTAAGCAGAATAAGATCGTTAAAAGAAAAAAAAATTTGCAATTTATGAATTGTATAGTATTAAATTAGAAAAAAAGAATTTAATTTGATAAAAATAATGTTTCAAAGAAGCATCAAGTATCTTTGGTCCAGGTACATTCAAACTGCATAAAATTTTCAAGATATGTTGGAACTGTAATGAAAAACTATGCTAAAAATTTCAGTTCATGCCATAATACTTTGTAAGAGATATTTATCAAACAAGAGGTAAAAATAATTTATTTAACTATTCAAAATGACAAGTTCAATACCTCGAAAAATGAGGATTATAGCTTCATGTAGGCTTTCAAACAGAAGAGTAAATAAATAGTTATTGGAAAAAATAAAAAATCCTATTTTTTCGTTGAAGATCCGATTTAAACCTATTCTCCTATGCATTTCTCTTAAATTCAATAATTCTGATGAAAATGAATTTTTTTTGTGAGGAAGAGTGGCTATTATGCTAACAACATTCTTGAAACTGTATTAATTAATCATATAAAAATGACTATTGTCATGAAAAAGTCAAATGATGTAAACGATATTAACTTATTTCTCGACCTTTCTTTTAAAGAACAAACTGTACTCATATTCGACCTCCATCATTCTATCGTAAATAAATTATGTCGCATAATAGTACATGACTAAGTACAATCTTGTTCTTTTGTCTTTGAAAATAAAAGTAAGTGACCTAGACACATAGAAGGAATAATCATTTTTTTTTCTGAAAAAAGTATAAGTCATGTTTTATGTCTTTATATAGAATTTTCGTAGATACTTCGAAAATATCAAATGTAGTTGCGAAAATGCTTTAGTTCCTAGTAAAAAGTTGAAAGAAATTTTCTTTCTCTATGACCTGATAGTAAAAACGACACTCTATTTTTCTACACTATTACATAATTCTCCAACTAATATCACAACGATAATATTTCAATAAAATCTTTTTGATTATGATGCGTGACGGTTGCATTAGTTCATATTGTCTTCAATATGTATCTTCTCTGCTTGATTTTCTCTCTGCTCTTCTCTCTTTTTTTTTCTCGTCTCCTTTAATATATAGCTGTTTCTCTCTCTCTCTCTCTATACATATATTAGGGCATGCAAAAAGTAGTGGCACCGATACAAAAGCGAATTACAGAAACAAGTAAGTGGTGCTTCATCTTCATATTAACCTTCACGAAGCTATTTAAAGCATCTTTTAACTGTTTTAAGAAAAAGAGTTTCTTCACTACAAATAGAACATAATTCATTATGAATAAATTTTGTATGAATTTTAAATTCATTGCACACTTTAATATAACAGAGAAAATTTCCCCTATTCATCTAAAACAAAGATGAACAGTGTCAAAGTTTAATCTGACTTTATTTCTTTCACTTTCTTGAGAACACACTGATAAACTACAGATGTAAACAACAAACGAGACATGCGCCTTCATATATGTACATATATATATGTGTGTGTGTAGACGGTCGGGCATTAAAAAAAGAGACGAGAAAAAAGAGAAAAATCAAGAAGGAAAAATCACATATCGCAGACAATATACACTGATTGAACCGTTACGCATTATAACCAAATAGGTCTTATTGAAGTTTTATTTTCATGATATTGGTTGAAAATTGATATGCCCTAAATATATCAACAGAAGTCTACTAGTATCTATCTGCTAAATGCAAAGTTTTCATTTTTGTAGTCGAGCTAAATAAAAACTTTGATTTTTATATTTTTATTAATTGATAATTATTATTCAAGTCCAATTGAGAAAAAGTACCGTATTTGATAATAAGTACGAACAGAATGAGTAGACACATTTTTGACGATTTTGTTTTTTTTTACACGTCTGATGTTCCAGTAGAAACAATGTATCTTGTAATCATTATGCCTACAAGTTCACGCTATTCGTTGTATTTTTACTTTCATTTTTAAACATGTTTTCACGTACTTAATCTTATAAAGTATTTTTAAAAAGCAGACGAAAATAATCTTTTCTGCTCTTATCGATATTTTACGTGCTTTTCATTTCTTATTTTAAAAAAGAAAAGCTAAAAGCCGATACATTTTAGTTTATTTAATACTGATTTAAATATATATATGAAATAATTGTCTGGTTTTGTTTTTCTTATCTCTTTTAGAACAAAAACATCTTGATTATTGTCCATGATAATATTGTGATAAACGAAAAAAAAAAAAAATATAACAATGATTCGTGGAAAGATTTTTTTATGTGTTCTACTTGTTACATTTGTAATTCAAGCTCAAATTACGATTGGTAAGATTTCTTTTTTTGTAATTTCTATTGATATTTTTGGATTAATAAAAGGATATCCATCAAATTCTGAAAATCTACAAACATTATTAAAACAAGCATTAGAAGTTAATTATTGTGCACGTATGATACAAGTTATAAGACCAATACCATTACGTTTTCGTCGTTCAACACAAAAAAAACAATTTCAATGCATTATCACATTGGATTGATCAATGTTTTTTTTTTTTCTTCTTTTTATCATAAATAGTTTAACAATTATACGATTTATTTCTATTTTCGGCTTTTTTACATTTATTTGTATAAGACGAAAAAAATAAAAATTTCATTGTCTACATGATTCTCAAAAGATATAAATCTTTTTGAAAATAAAATTAGAAAATTTCTTCATCGTCATCTTCTACTTAATCCTTAAAAGTATTGACGGAAAAAATAAATACATTTAAATTGATTTCTCACCGAGATAAATTATTAAATTAACTATCATAATGTTCTTTGGAAGGGATGTTTGGCTTTGAATGGTGAATTTTTTTTTCTTTTCAATGAAAGTTAAGAATAATCTGCTGAAGTACGTTGACTTATGAAAGTCAACATGTTGTTTCAATATTAGACATTTATATCAAAACATTTTCTTAAGAGGTACTTTATGTATCTATGATGAAGAAAACAAGAATCTAATTGTTTTTGTATTCTAAGATTCTGGCAATTGACATGTATATTTTTTTTCCTAACTATTAATTTTCATAAGATTCACTACAAAAATATCGTCTAAATATGTTAAAAATTCGATGAGTGCTATCCAACCACGGCTAAAACAATGTTTTGGTTCAAATTTTGAATTGTCAGTACCTTACAGAAGTTTATACAATACTGTACAAAATTTTCTGAACAATCATTTTAATTGAGTAATTTTTTTTTCTACGATTGCTGAAAAGACTTGAAATTATATAAATAAAAAGAGCAAAACACGAGCTACATTTTGATAACTAAAACTTTCTAAAATTAAAATTTAGAAAGTTTTAATTATATTTAGTTCCAATTTCTTTAAACAATTGTGGAAAAAAAAAATAACTCAATTTAAAAGTTTATCCAAAATATTTTGCATAATATTATTTGAAATCCATGACGTGTTATTCGATCGATAATGTTGACGAATATTACATTGGTTGAAGAGTCATTTTATCGTTCATGCTTCTGTTGGTTCTTGATATTGAATTAGAAAGTTTAATTCGATGGTTTTAATTGTTTAAATATCATGAATCCTCTAGTGAAAGAAATTTCTTTACAATTTTATATTTAACACACTTATTATGTAGTATTGATATTTTGAAATTCTTTTTATAGTTCATATGGAAAGCTCTTTTACAATTTATGTGAATTTTTATATGCACTAGAAATAGAACATCTTCTTTTGTTAACGATTGAAAAATGACCTTATAATTGTTATGATTTTTACATGGATGTATGTATCAAAATGTCTTCTATTTCATAGAAAAAAGAGAAATATGAAAAAAAAAATCTCCTTCATTCAAACCGCTTGTACTGAAAGAATTAAATGAAATATTCGATCTATAGCTTTGTTATTCATTAAAGTACATCGAAATATTACAATTGAGTGAATCTTTGAGTTAAAAACTATAAAGTTTTAATTTTCATTCTTGTTCAATCCTGAATCCTATATTTGTATTTCGAAAGTGTGAATGTAGATTGTATCCTCACCCAAACTCTAGTTCTAAAATATTAAGAATTGAAACTTCAAAAATAATTTTGAATTTTACTTGATCTATTTCAGATAAGTTTCATTTATCAAGTAAGAACTTCGCTCGAAATGGCTAATACTATAACATATATTCAATTTGGTCTCTGCATCATTTACAATAGTCATAATGCAGTTGTTTATTATTCATGTGGCCATGTGCAGCATAAGGATTGTTATTTTGGATCATCAACCTCATAACATGATCTGTATTATATGTGGAGGATGTGGGTGTTGGTATATCAGACTGGTGCTCGTCTATATCAACACCAAGCTATGCTCGCTCACTCCCAATCCCAGGCCCACATAGACTTGCTCTCTTTAGCGTTATAAGACCGATGAAACATTTAGGAGCGTTAACAGTATGCAAAATTGTGTAAACTGTTATCTTTATTTCTTATCGGAGTTTCATGCATTCACGCGACAATTACGTCTTTCAACGGATCACAAAGGAGATAACGTAGACGAACAATGAGCCACAGCCATATATTTACTGATCTTACGCTGACGGCCAACTATCGACTCTATCGACCGAATTATCCTATTCAGTAGTATGAATACGTTATACAATATAACCATAAAAATAATGGACAACAATATCAGGAGTTGGGCTATGAGAAAAGATTCCTTTGGCTTTGGATGTTGCATGTAGCAATGCTCAGGCCACTGTTAGTCTCAGCAAGTAAATAGTTTGAGTGAAATTGATTTACTTTTTGTTCAGCTATACAGATGGGACACATGTTGCAAGTTTAGAACACTCATTTCGCTGTCACCTATTTCTATATTGATCTTAGCGAAGCAGCATCTGCTCTAGCTTAAGGTATCGTTCACCCGTTTTCCGGACATGAAAATTAAAATTTTTTTGAATTGTCGGGTTTTCATTTCTAATATAACCCTGGAATATCCTCTATCAAATGCCATATAAATGAGAAACCTTCGCTATTAGTTAGTAAGTTTATTAATCCAACATTCAAAATCCCTAGCAGAAAACTGGCACTAGAATTATTTGACTCTAGGCGAAATTCTTCTATGATGATGATTATTTCTCATTGCACAGGTACTTAGCGTATTAGTCGTAAATGAGAATAAATATAATTAAATTCTAATTGAGATATTCAACGAAAATTTAGATGAAGTGGATATGAATAAATGATAGTATTAAGACGATCATTTATATTGATAAATAATCGAAATAGATCATTGAGCAATAAATATTCAAATATTTCAAATAAAAATTCAGAGGAAAAATATTCAAGAGATAAAATCATATATAGAATGTAACAGAGAAAATTCTGAATAACGCATTGCTTTTTACCTATTACAACTGAAAAATATTCATTTTTTGAAATTTGGTCTGATGTACATATTAGGAAATATTCAAATAGTTCTTATTTTTCGTTATATGGATTTATTTATATAAGACTCTCATCAGTGTATATTGAGGCAGATAAGGCCAGTATATGATATGCAATAATGATCTATTTATTGATGATGAATTTCTGATCGAAGAATATGATTGATAATAGTGGGTTCTAAATGATAAACAGAAAACAGTACTTTTTGTTTAAAATTTGCCGCCATTCATTATTATTCAATGATTCTACTGATTGGCATGATCAACCAACTATCGGTCATCCTCCATGATAAGGATTTGAACTCATAAAAGTAAAGAAATTGTCCTTACAACCAAAAGTACACTGTCGACAGATTATGAAACACATTGTAAGCTCTAAGATACTTTCTTGATGAGTGAGATAAACTCTATTTTTGGGACAAAATATTTTTTATCATAATTTTTTTCTAAATTACATTTCACTGATATATCAAAGATGAGTACGACGTAAATTCCACAGGAAACGAGAAATAATGAACGGTTGGGAAATAAATGGGACCCTTTCAACTTCATCCCATGCTCACCCTCAAGCCTGATTCATATGAGCAAAAAATCAAGTTCAAAAGGTGTCTTTATCATTCTTACTTCAATTCGGTTCTGGAATAATCTTTTATAATAAGTTTTCTTTTAGAGAAAATCAGTGAATGATAGGAAAATCGCTACAAAATCTAGTGAATCATAAAAATTATAGAATTCACTAGAGCCTTAAAAAAAGTCTAAGTTTATTAGAATACGAAACAAACTCAGCTGATTCATGATCATACTCATCCTCAGGTTCAAGATCAGAACCTAGGATACTTTGATTAATAAAATATCCGACTGATTATCGAAAGATACCAAGACCGTACCCTAGACCAAAAAAGTTAATGATTCTTCTTAGCAAGTTATTTGTGCTTGTTAGAACATGTCTTTGTGGATCATCATATCAATCTTTAATGTTTATATTTATGTAGATAAACGAAATGAAAAATCATTCTATCTTTCTTTATTATTTTAATTTCAAACTCACTCTCAAAATTGTTAGATAGTAGTAATTTATTGGAAGTTTAAAAGCCAATTAATAAGGAAAAAAAAATCTTATTAACAACTCGAAGGTGATTCAAGGACAAATTTCTGCACACGTTTATTGCCTCTATCAGCAACATAAATATTCCCATACAAATCTAACATTATTGATTGTGGATAACTCAGTTGTAGTGGATTTGAACCGTCACCATAATCACCGGCTACAGTGACACCAACTTTTGCATTCACACTCCACTTTTGTATTCGTTGATTTCCTGCATCACAAACATATATATTTCCATATGAATCAACCCATACTCCATTTGGTGTATTCAACTGATTTGGTTGTGAACCTTGTCCATTTCCACCTGCAACAGTAATTCCTTGTTTTGCTCCTTGTGCCCATTGTTGTATGCGGTGATTGTTTGAGTCAGCTATATAAATATTACCCCAAGTGTCCACATATATTTGTTTTGGTTCATTTAATTGATGAGAACCATTTCCTTTACCATTAAGATCACCAGCAACAATTTCACTATAGTTTTGCTGATTTGGAAAAAATTTAAGAACATAATGATTAATTTGATCTGATAAATAAATATTATCGTCCAAATCAACATAGAGTCCATAACTGTCACTATGTTTACTCTTGTTAACACCATTTTCAAATCTTGCTATAGTAACAGCTTTAGTAGAACCTATTGACAATTTTTCAACTGTATACCCAAAGTACCTTACGACATTCTCAAATCCGTGTGGTAGAGACGGATTCATAACTGTATGTGTATATGTTCCTAAACTACTTGTAACATATAAATTTCCAGTATTATCCACAAACATAGCTGTTGGATTACGAAAGTTCTCTCTGTAAGGAGGACCTGATTGCCCTTGTTGAAAATCTACTAATCTCATTCCGCTTGTAGTATTTGGAGTCCATTTTACTACAAGCTTGTTATTTAAGTTTGAATCTGTTATATATAAGTTGTTATTGTCGTCAACAAATACACTATTTAGTTCATCTGCTCTCGCAACAGTTATTCCATTGAAATTCCATTTTGCTGTTCCACATGTTGTACTAGTTGTTGTATTTTCTCCTAAATAATAATGTATAAACTTGCATAAAATGGTGGATAAGACCGATGTTCTGTATTTGTTTTGCAAAATTGTAACTTAGGAAAGTCTATGATGTAAATACTAAATCGGCTATCCGAAGAACCGATAGTTTTGAACTCTGCTCCCTAGAAACCAAATCATAGTTTAGACATATGATCATGCCAATAGATAGAGCTGGTATTGAGTTATTTTAAAAAAAATATTATCACGACTTCAACCACGTTTGTTCTCTTTGCAAATGGCTCCTAAATAGGCTCATTAAGCAACATTTTTACTTTAATGTTGTTTAAAGCTAGAAAATTAATTAGGAAACATCCAGACAGTTTCTACATAATGAATTTTCAATCGAATATAGAGAAATATTCTGGATGAAATCCATCAACAATAAATGTTCAAACATTCGAAAACTGCTTGAAGAATCATTTTGAGAATTCCTCATACTTGAATTTAGAATAATACAGAAATGAATATTCATAATGAACGTTCTCTAATACTTCTAATACAAGTACATGTATACATGTACTTGTATTAGAAAACATTCATTATGAATAGTCATTGTTATATATTATTCTATAGAAAATAATTATCTGAATGTGTAGCCTCCTTACAATAGAGATACATGCTCTGCTTCTCGATCAGGATATAGCCGACCATATTTCGAACTTTTAAAAAAGCCAAAATATTCGCGCAGAAATCTGACTTCATATTCGGATTTAGCATCAAATACTGTATTAATGCTTTAAGAGAGTATGAAAAACCTTTTGTTGTTGTATTTTGAGCAACTCATAACTTCTTCACAAAATATTAGAAATAGCTGATACATATCCATCCTCTCTATAAAACGTTGTACATTTTCCAAAATATGGTATTTACAATAGTATGCAGAAGAATAAGAGCTTTTATAATACAAGTTCTTTTTTTCCAAAGAACCGTTTCAAAATATAATTCGATCGATCGATCTCTGTTTCTCTATTTTTCGAACTATTCCACTGTTATAGAACTTTCATTTTATAATAATTTAAATATATATATAATATAAAAATATGAAAGTTCCAATTATAATTCCTTACCTTCATAGCGGCATTCTTTTTTCGGTAAATTAAAAAAACTATTATTAATTTTATCCAAATTTGCTCCAAAACATTCAGCTGCTAGTTTATCACACATACATATTTCATAACCACAGGTTTGAGTATTATCGATACAGTTAATTGATTTATCCAGTTGAACGGCATATTCTGTTACTATTCCGTTACATTTAGATGATTTGAGAACTTCATTATAACAATGTAAACGAAATTTACAACATAAATCAACTTCATCAACATATTTATCTGGTTTACTTCCTGTGCGGCACCTAATTTATTATGAAAAATCATTAAAATACTTACATTTTCTCATTTTCATTAGATCACTTACCAACATCCATAATTCTCATAATCTGTTGGAGCACGTCCCGTCATGTAGAAAATCATTGATCCATATTGTCGTTGGCCAAAAAATGATAACGAATCTGCTGCAATGGATGATATGGCAATAAGAAAGTAAAAACACAACATATTCTTGTCTCTATTGTCGTTACTGCCGTGCATGTAGATGAATGATTCCAGTTTTCACATGAAAAAATAAAGTCTATTGATTGCTTTTATATCTTGAGGATAAATTTGATATCAAAAACAAATTAAATTTTTTTTCTTTGAGAATTAAGCCTTGACAAAAGCATCCCAAAAAGCCTTGTACGAAATAAGAAATTTTCCATTATCATTACTCATGTCAAATATTTTTTTTGATGTTTTTCAAAGCTCAATATTCAAGGATAAAAAATTTAATTTATTTTTGAAATCAAATCTATCATTAAGACATAGAAGCAATCATTAGATTTTGCTTTTCTATCCAATCATATTCTGTGTTATAACATTTTGTATTTGTTGAACAAATAGCAGAACAGTTTAGATTTTAAATGAGATTAGAGTATGTAATTGTTGTTTTTGAATGGATTTGTCTTCTCATAGTCGTTTAATATGTTTATGATTCAGTGGACAATACGCAACTTCGACTAATCACATATATTTACACAAATCATCAACATCAGTATTACTAATTTTGTAGCGAACCTGATAGATGATTATTATTAATGCTAATTTTATCGTTTCTTTTTTTAATTGGTTGTGTTCTATAGGAAATAAAAATAAAAAACAAACGATCCGGCAATAGTTCTGAAAATAATTTACTTCAATGGATTTTATTGTAAGTGAATTTATTGAGGGTGTGAGTCCAGCATTCCATGATCCAGATTTCAATCTTGCTTAAGGATCTTCATCAGATGGCTTTGACTGTGTTGTATTTGTTCCAAATAATTCTAAATGAATAGAATCATAAACAAAATACATTTATCTGTACAAAACTTTATTTCATAAAAGAAAGTAAAGAGCAATAGATATCACCATAAGCAGTGAGAGTCTCGGAATGCCAAGATCGAGTTTTCTTCGCATTAAATGAAAAGTATGTTTTAGCATGACTAGAATATTCAATAACTGAAATTTCTTACATTTAATGAATTGCCAAAATGCTTAATTTGTTGACGACTTGTTGTTGTCTCGGATACTATTATAGTTATCTAGAATAAAATGAAAATATGTTTAAGTGTAAAGGAATAGAAACAGCAATCTCATTTTATTGTTTAATAAAAAGAAGAATACAGTCAATGCATTTAGTTACTTGTGTTCAAAGAAAATAGAAATGAGAATATTACCAGAACATGACTGTGTTTCTTTTTTGTCCTTATATACAACGATTGTATTTTGTTACGTACACAAACACAGCTAGAAATGGGATGTCCCCATTGAAGGCGTGCATCCTCACATGAAATTGTTGCACAATCGAATCGCCTCCGCCTTACTGATAACTGATATGCACATAAAGCTCCGTCTTCATTCATAATTTTCATTCGCAGCTTTTACTACAATAACAGTAAGTCTCTCTTGTTTGTACAATATATTTCTTTTCAATAGATATATAGTTGAATCTCTCGTTCATGATCCTTGTGCACACACATAACAACAGCAGGAAAAGAAATAAAAGCGAACAACAACCACAATTGTTAATTCATTAATCATAACACTGCAAACGCTCTAATAAATGTTGCTTAATAAGTGACACCATGTTGATTTCATTTAAAATATAATCAAGGGGGAAAAAGCGAAAATGTCGTACTCCCATGTACTCCCACGTACTCCCAGGGTAAGCTGTAACGATCTTTGAGATTTTTCTATTGACTTAGGGTGTCCTAGCNATCATGTTAACACTAAGACATGGTCATTTGTTCACTATTGATAACTTAGTATGTTGTTAGATCTGAGATGACTCACACTTTATTAGCAGATTATGCGCTTAGTTCATGATTTCCGTCCAACGGATTCTGTATTTCTATGAGCATTGTTTTAGACTGAAAGTTTTTTGCTTGTACTAGTCTCTACAAATTTTCCCAGAGTAATTTTTTACATTGGGACACGAATATGTTGAAGTCGGTAATGAGCATATAATACTTACGTTTCGTCTTCAATTTCCCAACGTATTATCTAAAGCTATTTTGGATTTATTCTTTAGTTGAAAATTTTTTTATAGAGGACGCTAGTGAGAAGTGCATCTGCTAATAAAAGCACGAAAGAAACGTCTTTTTAATTCTTCTGACAATATACCAACTGGTTTCTATGAATAGAAAGCCCCAATAATTGTCCAGTTTCATTCCAAACGTGTTTTTTAGAGTAGCTGTCCATGTTTTTGTTTTCTTATTCATTATTCTATCCTTACAATAATATCATACCGAAAATTTCATCGACCAACCATGAATCAACTCACAGACTCAAAAATATTCGTGACATAATTCAACATATCTTATTTATCAAAAACCATCCAATGCATTCACATAAAGACCAGCTTTTGTTTTAGATCTGTACGATATTATTTATTCTCCTGTTTGAATAATAGGAAAAACCAACGTGTATAGTGCTTCGCATACAACGTACTTCTGTTGATATCAAACAAAAATGGCCGAAAAAAGTGACGTCAAGAATCCAATAGCTCTTGTATTGGGACCTCAATGGTTAACTGAAATGAAAAGTTGCACAATCAAAGTGTTCTCAACTTTGGAGACCTTGCTGAATAACATATCTCAACCAAAAAATAGCAACGATTCATTTCGTGTGTTCATTCCGGGTCAATATCTTCAACAACTAATTGAAAATGATGTTTATAGTTTAGTTTATGTAGACTCAATCCATAGTTATTATAATTCCGAACTTGAATATCAAGTACATAGTAAAATCTTTCAAAACGTCAGTGACAAATTACATTTTCTCATGACGGCCGATCTGCACGAGCGACTTATTACTGCCTTGAGTCACCGTTTTTCTGTTCAAGTAAATCCAGTTAATCAATCAGTCGCGAAGCCTACTCCTGTGAGGCGAAAAAAAAAGACCAAACGCAGACGAGTGGTTATCTCGAATACAGTTTCGTTCGACATGAAATGTCACAAATGCTCGTCCGTATTCCAAGATCCTTTTCAACTTGCATGTGGACATCGGCAATGTCGGTCATGTATTGATAAACAAGAAAGGTGATCGTTGACTTCTCTTTCTCTTTACTCCAAGATCATTTCTAAACTTCACTGTTTCACTTTAGCACTACGATTAAGTGTGTCGAATGTAATGAAGAAACGTCACGAGAAGAAGTATGAAGTTTTTCTACATCATTTTTGAAAAGATATATGAAATTGTTCTAACATTTTAGGCATGGCTCGATCGCGGTTTCAAGAAACAAATAGACGAATTCAACCAGATGAGCTTGGCAAAAGATTCATAAATGGCAGACTATGGATAAATTCTTATTTATCAGTATGATTTACAATATTGGGTCCATACATATACTCAAAACAACATTCATTTGTATTTGATGCTAACTAGCATGAATTTCTGTGTATGTCTCAAGAAATATATTGTCAGCGCTTGTGTTCATAGTATTTTCATACAACTTGCAGTAAACTCTGTACAATTTGCAATATTCATCACAGATGGAATATACTCGCTGTTACGATTATATGGATATGTAGAAATAATATTGCATGATATTTTATATCGCATCGATAGGCTTCAATCATATCAGAGACTGTGTGATAGGCGCTCATGAGTATATTAGTCATAGCGTGAATGAACAAAAAGATCACATCTATTTGAGAAACTATCAACGGTGATTCTGATGGGAAATGGCATTAATATTAAGCATCGTTTGTTTTCTTCTGATACTCTACGTTTGAGAAAGAAATCGTGCAAGAATTGATATGCATAGTGTGAAGAAAAGGGAAAAAAAGTGAATAAACCAACAGAAACAAGAGTGTTGTTAACCAGCTAATATCGGTACACGGTGGTCACTCACTTTGAACAGCATGGCATCACCGTATGTACAATAGGATTCTTCATTGCCATTGTCTCTCATGAAATTCCTACTCAACTAAGCTGTATTCTCACTTCAAAATTTCATGAACATTTCCTAATATGATTGATTAAAATCTATTTATAGAAGATTGAAACTATATTGTTTGAACTATGATAGAGAAATAGATATTAATCGATATAGCATGGAGCCTAATAAATTCTTTAGTACGCTTTTTCAGTATTCGATCACTCGCATTAATTAGCAGTAGTAGGAATTCGATTATACAAACTATTCATTAAGTTCTAATGAAAAAGTATGAGTAACTCTAGAAAGAGTTCGACAAAACCACGGTCTTATAATGAGTTGAATTTCGAACTGGAAAAAATGAAAAAAAGAGTTTTCAGCTAATTCGAACTCGCTTGATCAAAAACACGACACATCATTGGAGGGGCAATTTGCCAGAAAAAGCTACGTTCAAGCGTCTGTACAGTAAACATATGAATGTGTACTGAATAATTAGCAGGTGAAAACTGCTCATTATGCAGTAGATGGAGCAAATTTATTGTATATCGAGGTAAACAATGGTGCTCCACTGAGTACAAATTCAGTTGCTCTTTAGAAGTAGCTTGCTTGTCCATGTGATCAATAGATCAACAGAAATATTAAAAAAAACGACAAGCAACTCAAGTCAAAAATTAGAATAAACATAAAAACTCATCTGTGTCGCACACTCATTTATTCATCGATCAAAAAAAAAATAATAATAAAACCAAGATCTCTATAGTGTTTGACTGAACTTACTTGGATCGCGGGGTGTGGGTGAAGAGAACATCCACAGTCAATCGGAGAACTGCATTTGAATTGCATACTCTCTTAGATACGTAGAAGAAATCATTCAAACTCTACAAATTGTCATTGTTAGTGATATTGTTTAAAGAAAATCCGAAAAAATTATTTAAGAATTCACAAACAAAGAACTCAAAACTGTTCGATCAAGTCAGAATTTTGATTGTATTTGACGTCTCCTAACATCACCGAATGATTAGCAATGTTCAGGAGATTTTTTCCGGTGCTTTTTGCATCCACTATGCTTGTTTCGATAACGGTTTCATCTTTTGATTCTCTCTCC